ATAGTGAGATAAATCAGTTTTCCGACCAACCTCCTATATCTCTCTGGATCAGAGAATACTTCACCTTCTTCTGTTGTTAATTTCTTATTTGGGTCCATAGGACTCTCTACAGGTTTACAGTCAATCATACCTGTTTCTTGTAATATATCAAGAGCATATTTTCTCTGAGAGATTACAACTTCATCTTTTGATTGAGCTACTTCAATGCCCAAGAAGTATTTTAGGCTTCCCAAATCCTTGGTTTGAAAATGTTTGCACAAGTACTCCTTCAGTTGAGATATTCCAACAGTATCATTTCCTGTAATGACTATATCATCAACATATACTATTAAGTAAACACATTTACCCAGAGATGTATGACAATAAAAGACTGAATGATCTGCTTCACTGCGTCTTAGCCCAAATTTTTGAACAATGAAACTAAATTTTCCAAACCAAGCACGTGGTGATTGCTTGAGGCCATATAGAGAACGATGCAATTTGCATACTAGTTCAGACTCCCCCTGAGCAACAAACCCAGGAGGTTGCTCCATGTAAATTTCGTCCTCAAGATCACCATGTAGGAAGGCATTTTTGATATCTAATTGATGAAGTGGCCAGTGACGAATGGCAGCCATTGCGAAGAACAGACGAATAGTGGTCATCTTGGCCACGAGAGAGAAAGTGTCACAATAATCAAGGCCATAAACCTGAGTGTACCCTTTTGCAACTAACCGAGCCTTGAGCCGATCAACTGCACCATCAGGGCCGATTTTAACAGCATATACCCAGCGGCAACCAACTGCCTTTTTGCCCGGTGGAAGGGGAACGAGCTCCCAAGTAGCATTATGGTCAAGAGCCTGCATTTCTGCAATCATGGCTTGTCACCATCCAGGGTGATCAAGTGCTTCTTCCACATTTCTCGGAATAGCAATAGAAGATACTGAGGATAAAAGGGAACACTAGGAAGGCGACAACCGGTGATAGCTAAGAAAATTATAAATAGGATGTGGGTTTCGAGTGGAACGAGTACCTTTTCTCAGAGCAATGGGTCATCCTGAATCACCTCCACCAGGAGTCATGGTAGGAAGCGATGTTGGAGAAGAATCTAAAGTGGGGGATTCACCCTCGTCTTGGAGAACAGGACTAGCCATCGGGGTCCTATGATTGACAACATCAATTTGAGGGGAGGATGGTTCAGAAAGACTTGGATCACTACGGAGATCGATAGAGACATTGGAAATATTAGACTCAACTACTGGAATGGGAAGAACCTGCTGTATGACATGAACATCTTGAACAGAAGGAGAAAAGTAAGGAGTCTGTTCAAAAAATGTAACATTGGCAGACATGTAGTACTTCTTGGTTTTAGGAGAGTAACACCGATACCCTTTTTGAAGGCGGGAATAGCCCAAGAAGACACATTTGATAGCACGAGCAGAAAGTTTGTCTAACCCGGGAGACATATCATGAACAAAACATACACAACCAAAAACTTGAGGAGATGTGTGAAAGAGAGGATTATTTGGAAATAGAATGGAGAAAGGGATCTTATTACTGAGAGAGGAAGATGGCATCCTGTTAATAAGAAAACATGCAGTTAAGATGACATCCCCCCAGTGATGGACAGGAATATGAGCACCCAGCAAAAGAGTACGTGCAGTTTCAACCAAATGTCTATTTTTTCTTTCTGCTATACCATTTTGTTGTGGTGTATGAGGACAGGTGGACTGATGCAATATTCCATGTGAACTCAAAACAGTAGAAAAGGTGGATGAGAAGTACTCTTTAGCATTGTCGCTTCTTAAAATTTTGATTACTTGACTGAATTGATTCTTGATTTCATTCAAAAAGGATGTAAAGATGGGTAACAATTCAGAGCGATCTTTCATAAGATAAACCCAAGTACATCGTGAATATTCATCAATGAATGTAACAAAATACCGAAAACCAAAAGATGAGATGCGACTGGGTCCCCAAATATCAGAATGGATAATAGAGAAACTGGAAGTACACTGTGATTGAGACCGTTTAGGAAAGGTAGATCTAACATGTTTCCTTAGCTAACATGACTCACATTCTAAGGTCTGGAGACCACTAAGTTCAAGACACATTCTTTTTAATTTTGACAAATGAGGATGACCAAGCCGATCATGTAACATTTTAGGGCTCGGAGTAGCAACACAGGACACACGTGGACGAGGACCAAAAAGGTATAATCCTCCAGCTTCATATCTGTTGAAAGTCCCACATCGCCTACCTCATATCATTTGGTATGGTTTAAATACATGTTAGGCTACTCCACATACTGCCAATTGGTTTTATGTTGGAATCTTAACATGGTATCAGAGCCAAAGCCTAACATCTTTCCGGTTATTGTCATGGGCCAAAAGTTGTCCTTTAGTTGGGTCAAAAGTACCCTTTGCCTGGTCCGGCAGGCTTCGTTGGAGGGGGTGTGTTGAAAGTCCCACATCGCCTACCTCATATCATTTGGTATGGTTTAAATACATGTTAGGCTACTCCACATACTGCCAATTGGTTTTATGTTGGAATCTTAACAATATCCTTCTCCAATCTGTCTCCCCGAACCACGCTCCTGTATAACAAAAGATTTGTTATCGAAGGTTATTGAACAATTTAAGGTTTTGGTTAACTGACTTAAGGAGATCAAATTGAAAGGACAATTAGGAATAAAAAGGACAGATTTTAGGCTTATGGAGGGAGATAAAGAAACTTGGCCCACTCCCTTTGAGGAAGCTTTAGAGCCATCTGCAAGGGTTATGAAATGTTGTTTTTCTTGAAAGGAAATGGTTGAGAACAAGGAGGTATTACCAGATATATGATCAGAAGCACCAGAGTCAATTACCCATGAATTTTGACCCTCCATAGATTGAGAAATGCAAGCAGTTGATGTGCTGACAGTTTGAGAGGTATGTGCCAAGCTATTAGACTTTAACCGTAGATACTCTTGGTATTCGTCCTCAGTGAACTTGGAGTTGACGGTTTCAGCCTTGGAGACATTGGCAGTTTTGGGAGGAAAACCATGCAAGGAGTAGCAGTTCTCCTGTGTATGACCCATCCTCTTACAGTAGGTGCATTGGGGACGTCCTCGACCTCCACGTCCTCCTCCTCTGGTGCCACGTCCTCCTCTTCCTCGTGTGGCAACCATGGCAGATGGTTCTACTAGAGCCAGAGCTTCCTGAGTCTCAGACATTGGTACACGAATCAGACGTGTGATAAGGGTATCCATGGAAGGGACTTCATAAGTGGTCAGAAGTTGATCTCTGATATGGTTAAAGTTAGGATGTATTGCGCGAAGGATCATCACCATGTAATACTTGTCAAGCTTCTTTTTCATTTCATCTAAGGAATCGACTTCCAAGAACATCTTGAGTTCTTCCACAGCCGACTGGGCGTCATTCATAAAGGACACCATATCATGATCTGTCATTTTTAGAGATGCCAGCTTATTTGCGGAATCGTAGAGACGTTGAATATCATTGGCATAAATGGTTTGAGCTTTCTTCCAAAAGGAGTGACAAGTTTTGAAGGCTCTAAGCGACATCAAAAGTCTTGGTTCCACTGATTGCCACAATAGAGCACATAGCTGAAAATCTGCCTGTTTCCACTGTTCAGCTTTTTCTTCCGGCACATGGCTTCCGTCTTTTTCAAGGTGGTCGTGATGCCCCTGACCGAGAAACCACATTTCGACGGTAGCAGACCAAGATAGATAATTTTGTCCGTTTAGTTTTTCGGAAGTAATGGAGGGGCTTCCAGAGAATGAAATTGCAGCCATTTCTGATCAAGAGGACAAAGACCAGTGAGGAGGGGGGCGAAAACAGCAAAGAAGTCCGAAAGCCCAAGAGTGATTTTCGCAAGGGTGACTACTGGACTTCACCGAAATGAAGAGGCGGCGCGTGGCGGAGAACGAGCTTCCGGGACCGACGGGGTTGGCTGTCGCACGGCGAGACGATTCAGATCCGGTGGTTGCCGGCGAAAACTGGACGATCGGAGACGGTGGCCGGCGGCGGCCGGCGGTGGACGGTGGCCGGAGTCGGACGGTGGCCGACGGCAGACGGTGGCCGGAGTCGGACAGTGGTCGGCGGCATATAGCGGCAAAAACAGTGCCAGATACTACAGAAACAGGCAGAGCGGGATCGACCCGCTCTGATACCAACTTGATATTCAAAAACTGAGAAAAAGTGTTTTTAGAGGGCTTGAAGAACCCCTCTCATAGTTCTGTATTTATATAGATAAAAACTGATACAATAGGGAGATTACATTAAATGCACAGTCCTAGATTACTCCTCAGAACTAGGTGCAGAGATTATCTAACACTCAACCCCCTGCAGAGATTATCTAACACTCAACCTCCTACCTTAGGTATAATGATTACATATATTTTCTAATTTATTCCAACAGTATTCATTGACATCCACACATATTTCATTGTTGCATCTAATTTGCAGAACACTAGTATATTTTGAGATAATTTAATGTAAAGGACTATATTTTTTATTTTATTTTTATGTTTTGGAATGATAATTTAATAGTATATTTTTTACATTAAACAAAAGTAATTTCGAAATATTTTTTACATTTTAGAATAACATTTCATAATATGATGCATATTAAGAATAATGAAACATTTCTAAATATATTTTTTTATTTTTTCAAAATAAAGATGAATACAAGATAAATTTTGAAAGTAAAATATTTATTGCATTGCATTTAAATTCCTTAAGCCCCACATCTAAAAGTGCGAAAAACAAGAAATGCCCAACAAATTTTTCATCCCCTGTCCCGCAACTTTCAAAACCGCTCACAACCCAACTCAATCACGCGTGTTGTTAAATTCATTTTCATCTTCCCGCTCACTTGCTCGTACTTCAAAATTTCACCTCTCAATGCTATAAATGCTTCCCCAATCTGCATTTCTCAACATTTTTTTTTCTCATCCCTAATTATTAAACATTTATATATAATTTAATTTTTCTCGGTGCGCAACCACATTTTTCACCATGTCCTCTAAGCGCAAAACAAGGGCTTCTACCGAGGCTACCTCCTCCGCCAAACGCCTCACCCGATCCTCCTCCATCATTTTGACTTCCACTCCTACTCCCTCCTCCACCAGACGCCTCATCCGATCCTCCTCCACCACTTTGACTTCCACCCATACTCCCTCCTCCACCAAACGCCTCACCCGATCCTCCTCCACTACTTCGACTTCCACCCCTACTCCCTCCTCCACCAAACGCCTCACCCGATCCTCCTCCACTACTTCGACTTCCACTCCTACTCCCTCCAAGTTTAAGCGTGAAAATGTCATTGAGTCTTTCTCTCCTGTCAAGGAAGAGCCTATGGAAGTCATTGAGTCTTTCTCTCTTGTCAAAGAAGAGCATGTGGAAGTCGCTCCATCAACGCCTGATAGCGAAATATCTAACGCTAAATTCATTGGAGATCCTATTCCTTACGAGGAAGCTCGGCGGCGATGGCCCAAACGGTATCAGGATAAGGTAATCATCTTCTCTGTCATTAATAAATAGATTAATGGAAAATCATGTGGTTTTGATGGGTAACACATTCCTTTAAGTTCTGTTTATGTACTGAGTATGTTGAATTGTTGTTCAAATGACAACAATGTGAATTTAGGTTTTTTGAATAAGACTCTTAAATATATCATATAAATGAGATAAAGTAGAAATGTTATACAAGACGTACCACTATTGTTTAAATAATTTGTTCATAAAGATTTTTTTTAGTGTTACTTAAGGTTATTTTGATATTTTTTTTAAACATATTTTGTTTTTCTCCGTTCAGTTTTTAAGGTTCATTTAGGGTTTATGGTTGGAGTGATACAAATGGGTGAGATATTTAATTAATCAATTTAAACTAACACTTTTCTAATTAAATTGAAATTTTTTATTTCTTGCGACTCTGTGGTTAAGAATAGTTAAAGATAATAGTTTATAAAAAAATATTAGAGGTGTATGTATTTCGTCTTCAACTTAAAAAAAAAATTTAAAAATAATGCTTGTTTTTAAGTTTATTAATATTCTTTTTATAAGTTTATAGTCATGAAAAATTGTATTTATGAGTCAATTTTTTTTAATATTGAATTTATTTAAATGTTATCATTATTTTCGTATTTATAATAATAGTTATTGCGTTGTGTTTAAATATAAATATGACATTTTCTTTTATCATAGTGATTTTTTTTTAGATTTAACATTGTTCTGGGTCAAAGCTTGAATTATTTATCTTAATTTATGCATGAGAGTGATTTAATATATATATTTTTCATAACAAAAATATATAATCATTAAACTAACTAACAATAAACTCTGGGTTTTTTCAGTTTTGTGCATATTAATAACTATCAACGTTTAATTTAATATATATATATATATATATATATATATATATATATATATATTTTTTATAGGCAATAGTATAATAAATTTATATAAAATCAACCATAGAAATATATTAAGTTAAAAACTTCTCAATTTTATTAATTTTAAGATATAAGTATTTTTTTCTGTATTTTTTACATTTATTTATAGTCATTATATTTTTATATTGATAATTTTTTTTAATTTAAAAAATATTTGTTTTAGTTTTTAGTAATGAATTTTAACTATTACAAAATTCATATTATGATTAAATTTATAATATATATGATTTTAACATTTTTTATATCTTAATTTAATATTTAGTGACTTTTTTTTTACTTTAACAAATTTGATAAAAAAATAATTTTTATATTTTAAAATTTAAAAACTAACTACTCAACTTTCTTTCATACAATAATCAAAATCAAATTTAAAAACAATATCATAAACATTAACCCTAATTTTAATCATTAGTCTAAATATAAGACTTAGATTTTATAAGAAAATTTTATTATAATACGTTTTTGTAACAAGAGTTTTAAATTTAGTATAAGATTTGATGTTCTAAGGATAAAAGAAATAATAAATTTTAAAGTATTAAGATTAAAATTAAAATTATAAGTATGTAGATCTTATCAAATTTTATTATTATAGTAAAACTTGTAAGAATATTAAAAATATGTGATATGATAAAATTTAAAATAAAACATTAAAATAAAGTATATGATACCAATTTACAAAACCTTAAATTGCATGTGGTTACATCCCCACATTTTGATTTAGTTTTAATTTGTTCGGTCATCTTTTTAGCAGAATAAGTCATCTGCGTTGTCAAAATCAAACAGGTATGTTGAATGTTTTGACTTCATACTGTTGATTGTATAGTTATTTCCTTTAGTGTTAGCTCCTCTCAGATGGTTAGTGACATTTTTGTTACTTTGTTCATCAAACACAGAAATGAAGATGACGAGGAAATTCATCATGCACGATGTCATTACAATCAGGCAGAAGTAGATGGATGTACCATTTACAAACTTTACGATGATGCACATGTTAAAGTTAGTAAGAACAGTTAGAAAATGATTAGTTTTTTGTTTTAATAGGTGATTCTTTCATTCTTAAAAATGTGCCGCGTACTTTTTTATATTTAGGCAGAGGAAGGAGATGACAACTACATTTGTAAAATTGTTGAACTGTTTGAGGCCATTGACGGGACACTGTATTTTACTGCACAATGGTACTATAGGGCAAAAGACACTGTAAGTTAAAATTTATTCTTTCTTTTTAGATCTGATGTGATTTTAGCTTGTAATGACTAGTTGATGACAAGTTATTGAATTTTAATGTCTTTCTATCTTTCAGGTCATAAAAAAACTTGCATATCTTATTGAACCGAAACGAGTTTTCTTTTCTGAAGTTCAAGATGATAATCCATTGGATTGTCTAGTTGAAAAGCTGAACATTGCCAGATTACCGTTAAATGTAAATTTGCTGGTTGATCATATTTTTTTTCCATCACTTTCTTTCTATTTTCCTATCTTAATTAACTTTAATATTAATTTGTTGGTTTTTGTAATGTAATTTAGTTGCAGATAGATTTAGATGCAAAGAAGGAAACCATTCCACCTTGTGATTACTATTGTGATACACAATATCTTCTCCCATACTCCACATTTGTTAACTTACCATCAGGTTTCGTTTATCTATTCACCTTTTGAATCTTATTGTATATTTTTGAAAGACATCTCACTTTTGTCATAAATTTTTTCCCTCAGAAAATGGTGAAGCTTGTAGTGAAAATTGTTCTACAATATCTTGTGATACTAATGGAGTTGGAAAATCTGAGGTGAACTCCCAATCTAAGAAGCATGCTTACCTTCAGGATGAAAGTAAAGATCTGGAGATGAGGGTCCTTGATTTATATTGTGGTTGTGGAGCAATGTCAACCGGTTTGTGCCTTGGTGGAGATTTATCTGGCGTGAATCTTGTTACTGTGAGTTATTTGCTTGTTTTTGTTAAAATTAATTCTTTAAACTTGTTTTCTTTTTGTTTTGGCTGTGCTTATTTTGATACCGTCTTTTTCCCTTTTTTTTTTTCAATAGAGATGGGCAGTGGACTTGAATAAATATGCTTGTGAATGTATTCAATTAAACCATCCTGAAACAGAGGTGATTTCAATTTTCTTTGTTTTTAAGATTCTAACCTCTACACGAATAGTTCCAAATGGTACGTTTAAGCTTGATATTATTTTTAGCTGAATACTTTACTGTTTACTATAATCAGGTTAGAAATGAATCAGCCGAAAGTTTTCTTTCATTACTGAAGGAGTGGCAGGAATTATGCAGTTACATCTCTCTGATTGAAAACCAGGTGTCACATAAGAAATATGTGAATTTTTTTCGTGAAGAGGATGATGACACTGAAAAGGTTAACGATGAAGAAACTGATGATGATGAAGACGAAGAAATATTTGAAGTTTCTAAAATCGTTGCTATCTGCTATGGTGATCCAAATAAGAAAAACGAGCAAGGATTATACTTCAAGGTATCTTCTTTTTCAAAGGATGTAGTTATAACTATTTTTAGCCCCAGCTAAGGACATTTCCATTGGTTTGGATTTGAAGGTTCATTGGAAGGGTTACGGTCCTGATGCGGATTCTTGGGAACCAATTGAAGGTCTAAGGTAAGCCTAAGTATTTTATAAACTTATTCTTTCTAATTTTTTTCAGTAGTGTTTAATAAACTCTATCTGCTTAAATTTGTTCTGTTATTTTTTTCATTAATGTTGCGGTTACTATACTAGATTTATTACATTCTTATATAAATTTTTTTGCTGATTCTAATATTATCTTTGCAACAGTAATTGCAAGGACAAAATTAAGGAATTTGTCATTCAAGGCTTCAAGTCAAAGATACTGCCTTTACCAGTAAGTTCCAACTTAGTTTGGCTACAATTCCTTTAAGAATTGTGTTTAAAAGTTTGGTGTGCTTATTATGTTTGTTGCTTTTGTATAGGGAGATGTTGATGTCATATGTGGTGGACCTCCTTGCCAAGGAATTAGTGGTTTCAATAGGTTCCGAAACAAAGAGAACCCTTTGGATGATGAGAAGAACAAACAACTAGTTGTTTTTATGGATATTGTTCAATATCTTAAGCCCAAATTTGTATTAATGGAAAATGTGGTGGATATAGTAAAATTTGCGGAAGGCTTTCTGGGGAGATATGCCCTGGGTCGCCTCCTTCAAATGAACTATCAAGCGCGTCTGGGAATTATGGCTGCAGGTGCTTATGGGCTTCCTCAGTTCCGTTTGCGTGTGTTCTTATGGGGGGCTGTACCTTCGCAGGTGATTAATTATTAGTTTTCTTTTTAAAATTTTACTGTTGGTGTGTTTGGTCTGTGTTAAATATGTATTTCGTATGTGATGCAGAAGTTGCCTCAATTCCCACTCCCAACTCATGATGTTATTTTGAGGGGTGTTATTCCTTTGGAGTTTGAGGTATGTAATTGTTAAATTGCTCAAGCTGTAAGAATCTATTATTGGTGAAAGGTGACTATCTGAATTCACCTGCTCAATCACTAAAACATGTTATCTTGCTTTGCAGACAAACACAGTAGCTTACGATGAGGGACATAAAGTTCAACTACTGAAAAAACTTTTATTGCAGGATGCTATTTCTGACCTTCCTCCGGTATACGTCAATGTCATCGTTGCAAATTCTCTCACACCTTTTTCTATTCACAGTGTGTTAACTGAATGAACTTTTTCAATGTTCAGGTTCAGAATAATGAATGTCGTGATGAAATAAAATACGACAAACCTGCTGAAACGGAGTTCCAACAATTCATTAGATCAAGCAAACATGGTAATACTTCATTAGGTTTAGGGTTCCGATCTGTAAAGTCATTCATGTATGACAGTTGAATTAAAGTCTGCAGGGAGAGTTCTCCCTTTTGGGAGCTCGAAGTTTCTTTGGAATATTAATTAGTATCTTTCAATTTCTGTGTATGGCTTCTCGAGCTGCTTCATGTTTATTAGTAACTAAAGATGTTAAAAGACTTGTCGACATTTCTAGTAACATATGTTTGTGGATTTATGTGGGCAAGCTTTCCAATGAATGATTCATTTAAGAATTGCGCAGAAATGTTGGGAATTCAAAGTAGAACAAAATCCTCCAAGGCTTTGCTTTATGATCATCGTCCACTAGAACTGAATGCGGATGATTTTCAGCGTGTGTGTAGGATCCCCAAAAAGAAGGTTTTTGCTCATCCCAGTTAGAATTTATTTGCCATGATACATATGATATTACTTTAAGATCAATTATCTAATAATTTATTTTTGTTATCAGGGTGCATGCTTCAGAGATTTACCAGGTGTTCTTGTGGGAGTTAATAACAAGGTTGAATGGGATCCTGATGTGGAACGTGTATATTTGGATTCCGGAAAACCATTGGTAATAAGACACTCAAGCGTCTATCTTTATAATTTTATATATATATATATATATATATATATATATATATATATATAAAGATTCTTTAACTGTCAATTCACATGCATCTTTAAACGATAAAATGCCAATTAATTTTTTTATGTATGTTACTTCACAGGTTCCAGATTATGCCATGTCTTTTGTGAATGGAACTTCATCAAAGTAAGTTTTTATGACAGTTTAGATTTTAGGCGGTTTGGTTTGGCTTTTCTATACTATACTTTCCAAGAAAAAAACGAGGAGAAACTGTTCCAACTGTAATTTTTTTTTTTTGAATTAATTCTGTAATAATGTAGTTCTGTGAATCATTAATTAATCCTGTAATTCTTTCAGACCTTTTGGTCGGTTATGGTGGGATGAAACTGTTCCAACTGTTGTGACAAGAGCAGAACCTCACAGTCAGGTATGTGTCTTATCTTCTATGTGCACTTCAGAATCATGGTTTTACAAAAACTGGATCTAAATATAATATGATGTGATTTTTAGGCAATTTTACACCCAGAACAAGATAGAGTGTTGACAATTCGTGAAAATGCCCGACTCCAAGGTTTTCCAGATTACTACAAATTGTGTGGAACAGTCAAAGAGAGGTAATGCATATTTGTTTGATATGTTTTTTGTGGGTGTGACTTGATATTTGATGATATTTTTGTTACAGGTACATTCAAGTTGGGAATGCAGTGGCAGTTCCAGTAGCTCGAGCTCTAGGATACACTTTAGGGCTTGCATTTCAAGGTTCTACTACAAGTGATGGACCACTGTATAAATTACCTGATAAGTTTCCCATGATTAGGGAACGAGTTTCTTCTGTATCTTCTGAAGATGATGGATAGATTCATCATTAGCCTAGGGAACAACTTTACTTTGTATCTTCCTATGCATCAGTAGCAGTGTTGCAGCCGTAGATTGTTGTTATTGTTGAGAAATTATTCATTATTTTGGTAGAATTTTTGGGAACAATGATTGATATTCAGGATAATTTATATTCTTTATGTTATATTTTTAATGTCTAGGGTGATATTTTTCTATTTGGATGATTTTTATCATCTAAAACTGAAGAATATAAAGATGCTGGTGGGAATAAGATACTTGGACAATATTAGTGTTGCATATAGGTTATTAATGTGTAGATTATGATTTGTGTTATTTAGGAAACTGCACTTTTTCTTTTTAATATGAAAATTTGACATGTCCAAATTAGAAGAAGCATCACCAATGCACCATTAGAGAGTTGATTAAAGGGCATTAGAAAATTTGACATATAATGTTGATTTTTAAATTTAAATTTTAGATTTATAGGATTGTGGATTTTTTTTACATGTAAGTTCACACTAGATGCATGAATTATTTTGACATTATTATATGTTCTTTGAACTGTTTTTATTCATGAGTATCTAAAGGATTATTTTTACTTGTATCTTTGTTATCATAGCATAAGTTATCTAATCCTTTGTTTAAAAGACTGTTGAAAAAGAAAATCTACAAATTCAATCTGAGTTGGTTTTGATATCATTGCTACTCTAAAAGATCCTTATTGTCATATAGATGAGAGAGTATCTGGATACTTATTTGACTTAAGTTTATTTTCAAATATTGGTTATTTTGAAATATAAAGTTTTTGTCACCATTTACCTTCCCATAGATATTTATAGGCTAATTAATAATATTTTCAAAATTCATTTATATATAATATAATTCAAGATATGTTTATAACATTTTATAACCTTCCATCATTTTTAAAACTTACACACAGATTAAGATTTTTTTACAAGTAAAATGGATATAAATTTTCATTAATCTCATAAGAGGTCCTATATTTATATCTTTGTTGAATCAATTTTTATATTGATTTTATTCCTTTTTTTAATAATGATTAAAATAATAGTGGCATCATGGTATATAATTTGAGAATAACTAAATTGGTTTCTTAGGTAAACAGTATGAATGTTTTGCTACCTGAGTACATTCTTTTAGTATAAACTTTTCTTAGTGAATTTGTGTTCATTACAAACTAACAAAATTAAATTGGTGACAAATTTTTCTTAAAGGTATTTTATGATAAAATTTGTACTTCTGCTAATTCTATTAAAAAATCATAAATTCACTAAATTTAAATGTGGCTTATATGATCTCTGTATTGTAGATGAACAGGAAATGACACTTGTTCAAGTCTTAGAATCAACCATCATTAATTTTTAATATGTTATATTCTTTTTTTTAAATATATGTTATTAGTTTGTGAGTGAATGATATTCTACATGGTCACAAGTAAGGTATACTATTATACGTTAAAATATACAAAATTATTAAAAGATGATTACAAAAAATAGATAGACAATGTTATCCTAAACTTTTATTCTATTCAAATTAACAATAATATAAACTTAATTTTTAACTTACTAAAATAATATAAGATAACATAAGTGTGTTTGTGATTACATCATGTCTACAGTATTAAGTACAATAATGTGCATGCATGCAAGCATGCAAAGGAATTAATAGAAGAAGGCACTAAATGTGAATTAGCGAGTAGTCTTTGCCAAGAAAAGAATTTGAAAAAGGTGATTCAAAAGCTATAGAAAAAGGAAAGAAAAGATTGAGAAGCATCTAATATCTATGAGGCTATTAATAACCACCAATCCAAGGGTAACTCCCTCTCTTTTCTGTCTTCTCTTGTGAATATGAGAGAGGGCTTAAAATAGAGGAGAGAAAAAGGAAAGAGTGGTGTTGTGTGGTGCAAATGATGATGCAGAGATAAAAATAGGCTTAGGCTCATTACATGAAATAAAACATACCCTCCTGTGTTTTGTGTTGAAGGAATCAGAGAGAGTTGCCAGGGAACAAGGAAAACTTCAGAAAACAGATTAAAAAAAAAAAAAAAAGAGTCACAATAATGGTTTCCTTAGACTCTCTCGATTTCTTCCTCTTCCGTGTCAGCACAGACTTCTCATCTCCTCTGGCTATTTTCTTTCAGGCGCAGGTTTTCTTTTTTGCTTCATTTGCATGCTTCAATCTTGTTTGACATTTGGTATATTATTTCCTATCAAGATGATAAGTTGTTTCTGTGTGTTGGAAATAATTGAGATTTTCTAGGAATGTTAATAATATCATGATAGTGAGAGAGCATATGAGGAATATGATGTAATTCAAGCAACATTATAGATATTGGCAGGGATATTTGTAGAGAGATGTGTTCACATTTAATTCGTGATTGTGTTCAGACTAGAACAAGATATATTTTGAAGGAGGGTATGCGTGAGAAATTAAATAAATTATGTATGAGATTGTGTCATTTTTTGGCTATATCAAATATTAAGGTGGTTTCACTTTAGCAGCAACTAAACAATATAGCAATGCAGTACATTTTGTAGTATTTAGTACAGTGTCCAGTTATAGCATGAATGTGGAAAGTCTCAATGGAACATCAAAAATTGAAAATTTAACAAAAAGTTTAGAAAAAGGTAGTGGCGGATTTTGACCATTGATATTAAGGGACCAAATAATATATTATTAATAAATAATAAATAAATATAAAAGGAAGAAAGAAGATGAAAGGGTGAAAGGATAAAATTGTAGATATATACTTAAATATATTAAATGATCATTAAGTTTCAGGAGACAAAATCATAAATTATATGAGAGTTACAAAACTAAGGAAGGGCTGAGAGGATAAAATTGTAAATATACAAGTAAATATATTAAATATTCATTAAGTTTGAGGGGTCAAAATCATAAATTACATCGGAAAGCTCCCAAGAAGATACACAACTGGAAAAAGTTTTGTCCTTTATGTTCCTTTTCTTCTTTTCAATGGACTATCTTCCACTGGTCCCTTGACTTTTGTTTGTATCATTACAAGATAACTATTTACAGATTTTTCCTTCAAATTGTATTCTTAAGAGAAATAAACCATGATACTGTGTCATACAAACCTGATTTGAGGTTTCATTATGCAGGGATGTGTAATTTGCTTACTCCTTGCTTTGGGGTGGGCCTGTGCTTCCTTTGTCAGGTACTCGTAAATACCAAACAGAGTTAGGAAACTCAATTATCAGTGTTCAAAATAAATTTTGAAGAATTTGTTTGTCTTGCAGGAACAGAGAAATAAATAGAATCAAGAAGAGTATGCGGAATGGCAATAGCTTTGCATTCATCTGTCATGATATTAATGAACTTGAGCACTCCAATCAGGTTAATCTTCCCAGAGTAACAGTTATTATGCCCCTAAAAGGATTTGGAGAACACAATCTCCATAACTGGAAGACTCAGGTATAGGAATACTACTGCAACTTCTTGACATGATGAAGTACTTTTTCCTTGATGATCATTTTCCAGTTTTAAGCTTCCCATTTTAAAAGGCAATGTATTGTTATGATTCTGTTCTTTTTCAGTTAACATCTCTTTACGGTGGCCCTTTAGAATTTCTTTTAGTGGTTGAAAGTCAAGAGGATCCTGCGTACCAAGCTGTATCAAAATTACTAGCAGAATTAGCGGTACACGTGAAACTCATTTTAAGACTTGATTCTATTGTTTTGGTGCCTTATTGATATTTTCTGCATCTTACTTGCTGCTTAATGCATGCAGGGTTCTGTTAATGCTAGGATTATAGTAGCTGGTTTATCAAAAACTTGTAGTCAAAAAATTCACAATCAGTTGGTATGGGTTTTTCTTGTACTTTGATCTGGTATTTTCAAATGTAAAGTAGGCCACGGTATACATGCTGATGCATCTTTTAGCTCTTTAATTGTATAGTTGTTGAAAAGCATATTATCTATATAACCCTGGCCAGTCAAGTTCATGTATGAAGGAGAGCAGTTTACTTACTGATTTAGAATGTCAGCAATTTCGTTCTTGTTAATTTGTTAGTTTGTCCTTGCTTGATGAATTTTACCAACTTAACTATTATTAATTAGTTTTGGCACCTGGGCAGGTTGGGGTGGAGACAATGCATAGAGGCAGCAAGTATGTGCTGTTTTTAGATGATGATGTTAGGCTACATCCTGGATCAATAGGAGCACTCGTTTATGAAATGGAAAAGAACCCCGAGGTATAGCTTTAAATAATTTTCACCTTGTGGTTCTTTTCTTTAGGCCTTTAATTGAAATATTTACAGTTCCACTTGCCTAAAACTAGTTGGTTACACTCTTGCAATTTACCATGCTTAACAGATATTTATTCAAACCGGATACCCTCTTGATTTGCCATCTGGAAGTCTAGGGAGTTACTGCATCTATGAATACCATATGGTACACAACTTACCTTTGAATTTATATATCTGCAGCAATAATCTGTTTGCTTGAAGTTAGCTCTCATGATTGTAAATTTGAAACATGTTATGGTGTTAGCAACGGATCATATGATTTCTGTTAAGGATGTTATGAATATAAAATATCAATATTCTATTTTGCTTACTCAACTCATTAGTTACCATTTTTATTTTGTTCTACAGCCTTGTTCCATGGGCTTTGCCACTGGTGGACAAACATTCTTTTTGTGGGGAGGGTGCATGATGGCAAGTAGCTTCTATCTTTATTTTCATTAGTGCATAGAAATACTTGCATTCTTACTGTTTAGTTTTTCTCCAGATGCATTCTGAAGACTTTAGGAAAGATAATTGTGGTGTAGTCTCAGCACTTCGAAACGGTGGATATTCTGATGATATGACTCTTGCAGCCATAGCTGGTATATCTATGAAATTTACACTCTGATAATTAATGTTTTTCTTGGTCACTCATTACATGTTGTTCATTGCCATGATTCTGTCCCTTTCAGGGGCTCACAAAAAGCTCATTAGTTCTCCACCGGTTGCTGTCTTTCCTCACCCTCTTGCAAGTGATCTTAATTTTGGAAGGTTGGTGACTATTTTTCACCTGCAACTAAAGTTTCAGCACATATTCTCCGTTAATTATTCAAACTTGTGCAGGTACTGGAATTATTTGAGGAAACAAACATTTGTTTTGGAGTCATATGTAACCAAAGTCAACCAAGTAATGAACCGTGCATTGTTTGCTGTTCACTGTTATTTGTCATGGGGATTTGTAGCACCATATTTCATGGCAGTGATTCATGTTGCGGCAGCACTAAGATTTCACGCTAGGGGAAGCTCAATTGAAGAAATTAACTACTCTTCTGTTGGTGAGAATACTACTTTTCCTTTGTTGTTTGTGTTGATTCATGTGCAGAAAAGGGGCAGGATGATGAGACAGAACGAGGGTTACAGTTCCATATATTTGAAGTGATAGAAAACTCTTGTGCTTGGTCTCAGTATTTTAATGCAGAAAAAAATAGCATGCACTTGGATAGAGTTTATATAACCACAAATAAAATAGGTGCTTCATTTAAGTTATTATTTATGCTACCATTTCCTTGCTCTCTCTCCCCTGTGGGGTTCTAGATTAAGAGAAAGAAAGAAATCAGGTACGAACTATGGTTGTTTACTATCTGGTGTTGTGGACTATTTTGTTCTAATAACACAACAAGAACTTTTATATGCTCTCATGTCATGATTCATGAAGAATGGACAAGGTCTGTGAAAAGGAAAAGAAAAATGGAAGGAACTTGTTTATATGATTCATGTCATGATTTACCTTTCCTCAGGGTTAACAATGGTGAGGCTCCTAGTCACATGCACTCTCATTTCGCTTTTCTCGATGTGGAACTTGACACGGATAGAAGTTCTACTTTGCAACATATTGTCCCCAGAGGCACCTCCACTTTCTCTGGCTTCTTATAATTGGATTAAAGTAAGTTCTTCTCCAAGTTCTCAAACAAAAGCGAAAAAGGTGTTTCACCGAGCTGCTTTATCGTGGATGGATTAGTGATGTAATCCTAGACATCTTACACATTTCAACATGTCATTGCAAAAAAAAACTATAATATGCGAATATTATATTAGTATGATGCCAAGGAATGTGAAATACTAGTTGGGAAGGGAATATTTGATTAGCATATTTATCTTTTCTCTTGAGCAGGTATTCATTGCAATGCTGGTGGATAACTTTCTATACCCTGTATCTGCAATTCGTTCTCATTTTTCTCAATCTATCAATTGGTCTGGCATTATATACTATTTGAAAGATGGAAAGATCAACAAGGTAAATTGGTCAAGGTTTTATGTCTACTTTTGCTTGACTTCACAAGTTGACACAAAAAATTGTAATTATTACTTTCACCTTTCCATTCCAAATGCTACTATGCTCTTTAATATGCAAATAGTAACAAGAAAACCATTGATAACGTACTTTCTAAGACATTCATTATTGTTTTTTAAATTTTATTAGAAACTATAAAATCATAAATGGATCTAATTAAATGAGAAGTGGCACTGTGACTTTCAATCAATTTCAAATGATAACAAAATGTGTTCAAAAGTGTGTAGTGTTAATTTTTTTTCTTTTAAGCAATTAGGAGGGAAAGGTTGGAACCATGCATTCCATTGTCAACCAAATTTTATTTATATTTGTTTGTTGCATATATTCTTCAGATAGAGAGATTACCAAAAAGACAGGATGTGGCTCCAGTTTTCACAGACTTGGGAGGAAAACATTTGTATGGAAAGAAAGGGTTGCCTACAAAGAGCTCATTCCTTACTTCTTTGTCCAAATGTTTGTTCCAATGGCGTCAACCAAAGAGATCAGAGTAATCAAGAAATGGCTTCATTCAGCATACAGAGTTTCTGTCTACTTTCTGACCCCAAATTTTGAGGCACAATGGTTCCTTTTAAAGCATGGGTGTTGGTATATCAATTGATCTTACAGTGATTCATATTTGATTGATTGATTCTTTTCTGAGGCAAAATCCTTGTTCCATAAACATGTATTTTTTTCAACTACACATTCAATCCCATGTAATTTTCAGCCCTTCTTCGAGCTAATTTTGTAATTGTAACAATTCACTGGGAAATTTATGGACAACAAACGCTTGCCGTTTACCATTCATTCACATTCGATTTTTTAATTCCATTTCTCCATCACACACAATACATTATTTTGTAGCTTTCCCTTAAACAGTGCTCCCTTTTAAGATTTGGGCAGATACAAATCATGGACCAGACAAAAAAATCATGAACCATAAAGGTAACTCTAGCTTAATAGTTTTTTATATAATATAAATTTATCACTAATCAATTATATCAATAATTATGGATAAAGCAAATCAGCCAAAGAGAAATTGCTAGAGATAAAACTGAGATAATATAATGGTGGTTGGAAAATGAAAGGAAGGGGAAGCCTCATTGTTTTACTCTTACTGCGCATGACGACAGGAGGGTAAATTTGATTTCATGCATTCGAACAGCAACACCCGAATTACTGTCTAATGAAGATAAATGATCAGACAAGAACTGGAAATTTGGGGAGATAACAAGCAGTAAAATGTTGAAAATCTCAAATTATACATCTCATGAACATTACAATCCTGAAACTACTGACATAGCTATTGCTCTAAATCGCCAATGTAGAAGTCTTCAATCATGTCAAAGACTCGAGTTGCATGCTGTGGTCTGCAGAGCAAATGTAAAAAGTATAAGATGAGGTAGAGGAGAAGAAGATAAAGAGAGATTTGTGGAATTTACAAGTTTGGAAAACCAATTACAAATAGACATGATCAAGCAGAAGATTGAGTTTTGTTAAAAAGCAGATTCTCAGTTCTCACTGTTGCCTAGTTCAAAAACTGAAATATGATAAAGTCATATTGCATCTGTATTAGGCAAAATAAGCTGTTTGATAGAGAATACAACTGGTAGCAGCAAATTATTCACAAAACGTTAGAAGCCGTTTATCAGCAACGGCTGAGAGAGCATGTCAAAGATAAAATCATGTGAATGGGTTAATGTTGATTTTGATACAAAATCTGAACTGAAGGAGGAACTATGAGGCTATTTTTGTATCTGTAATCATATTCATATAACATGGTTTATTAAATTTATTAACGAGTGAAAACCAGTATCTCTTGTATTGACCAGATAACTTCATCAGAGTCTCCGAAGATTATTGTGATATATTGGTAGAACAGAACAATGTGATGAATTAAGCAGTAAACGGTATATTGTATTCAATATTGAAATACAAATTATTTGATCTAAAATAATAAGTGCTTTAACCTAAGTAACGGCTCAAGCTTTTATGACAGTATGCTCATGACATGTATGAATCGAACTCTTCATGCTATACAAAAACATTGGTGGCAATGTTGGAAACTCTATGCTTTTCATGTTTCCTTCTAATTCCTCCAAAACTCTAGTTCATATCTAAAGAAGAGGGTAACATCAGTAGTTCATGAAAAAAATAATCATGGAACTTCTACTCAAACCTTTGTTGGCCAAGTTTAAGTAGGTAATCTATGAGAACAGCAGGAACATGATTAATCCCGGTACATACCAAGAAGGAGGCAAGACATATTTTATAGGCAAATTTGAGAAAAAAATACAAAAAAAAATGATAAATCCAGATAAATATCTTAAATACAGAAAAGCAATGCGTGAAAAGGAATGAATGCATACCCAAAAAACCCTTCGGTTGAATCATCTCCAGCATGTGCTAGAATGGCATCACCACCTGGATGTTCTTCCACATAAGAGGTAACATCATATACCTACAGTGTGAAGAAAACCCAAGAAATATAAACTAAGAATCTGTTACAGCGGTAAAAATGTCAAATCATAACATTACCAGCTAATGTAGTTAAGCCAGTAGGATTGAGCTAGTGATATTGGATTTTGATACTTTGTATGAGGTTATAGATTCAAACTTCAAAGCTCATTAACACTACTGTAACACATAATGTAGCATAGATAGGACTGAATTGAGGACAGAAGATTTGATATGGAAATAATATTTTTAAGGTGCGGAAAGTGAAACACCAAAAAAAAGCGCATACCTTGTTCTTGATGATTATCCAACAATCTGTTCTCTTGTTATGCAATGAAACTTCCGTTTTACTGTAGGATTTTGATGCCTACAAGCAAGAATACAAATTGTTAAAAATTATCGTGCAACTAAAGAACACACAGCTTTAGGTTTGAATCAACCGTCCCAATTTTGTTTACTAGTTATTATGAGCTCCGACTATAACTACATTTATTTCCAGTCCAATCAAATAAGTTGAGCATGATCAATATTTGACATGTAGCTCAAAGTAAGGTATTTTTCTATCTCACCAAACTAGCTTCAGACTCCTATAATATGATGAAAAAGCTAAATGACTCCTATCTTTCATTAGGGAAAGTGTAAGCTGAATAGATGTTGACTAAATAAGCAAGATACTGAAGAATAGCATCCCTAATGGCAATTCCCCCTATGTGGTCCTCCCTGAATTTCAAAATTTCAACCCTGAAGCAAAATATGGGAAAACTATTATCTTTACTCACAGAATCACATCATAAACGTCTTCCACAACGTCATGCCTTTGCTTTTAGATTGTGCTCAACTCAAACAAGAAATAGTCTTCCACAAAAAGATAAAGCCATATCATTAAGGATGAATGAAACACCATTCTCCTTGAGATACTCTTTTCCTTGAAATCCCTCGTAGGACCCACAACAAGTCTGGCCACTTTCTATTACTTGAAAAGAGAAATTTAACGTTTAACGAATATTTTGAGACCATTCTTCATCATTATCAACACAAGTCTTCTTTCTTTTGGGTATATGATACGAACATTTAGAGCAAAACACCCAAATGACACCGAATCCTAAGAAACCCAGCTCACCAATTGCTTGAGTAACTGAAACCAAGACATTGCAATACTTATTTATCTTAATTTCACCTAGATCCAAAATGTTATTCAAACAAAAGGTTATTAATTATCCTATTCTATCACCTATGGAATAGTAGCAGAACCCACAGCAAAATGCTAGAAAAGCACTGAGCTAAAGTAAGTAAATACCTTATCATTGTTTAAACTGGCTTGAGCTTTTCCCTTATGCCCTGACAAAGATGCAAACAACTAACGTAAATACACACAGCAAGTACATGCATAGCCAAATTTCAAAAACACATAGCGTGACATAGATCACATCATAAAGATGAAGAGAACCAGATGCACGGTGTCGCGGGTTGAAAACAAGAACAGCTAGGAAGAGACCCAGAAACAATGCGAGTGCAACCAGCAATACCATAATTCAAAGTCGGACACTTTTGCGCTTAATCCAATCTGAAACGGCAAAAACAAGAAAAAGGCGTTAATGCAAACATATTGAGCAATCTTCGTGGTCATATACAAGCACTTCGAAAGAGAGAGAGAGAGAGAGAGAGAGAGGGAGAAAAAAAGAGAGAATCATGGTACAATCTGAACTCACCAATGAGAAGTTGAAAGCATTGAACAGGAACAAGGACGTAAAAATGTTAGTTTCAGCACGCACCAATGATGAACAAGCTGCGAGTGATGATGACAACGAAGGAACACAGTTGCACAAGCGCACACAGAAAGAGCGAAAGAGAGTGAATTAGCAGTGTTGGGCCTTCTACAGGGCCTCAAGTATTTTGGGCTCATTTCAGCCCGAATCTAGTAACGCTGCTAGCTTGGGCTGATATTGTTATCTTCTTTTTACAGCCCAAAGTTAGCTTGGCAAAGCAGCCCAACTTTTTGGGTGGTTGCTTCGTGCACCCCCAAAAAATCTAACCAATTCCCTTTCATTCTAAAAAGACTATTCCAAAAAAAAAAAAACATTTTAAGATTTCCCACTTCTAAATATATCATACATTACATCAGAAAAAAAAAACGTTATTTATATATTTTAGAGTTTAATGATCATGCATATTGAATGAAAAGTTGAATATTCTCTGTTGATTTAGAATTTTTAATACAGAATAAAGTATTCTTTAGAAATTTTTGAAGAAAAGTATTACTGAGAGAAACAAAATTATACGCATTATGCAACAAGGAAGGAAGGTAAAGAATAAAAAACAGAACATGCATGATGGGAACAAAGGAAGAAACATGCAGAGGAAGAGTTACCTCTGATCTTATATATATAATCACGTTTTAAATTTTTTCATGTGTGATAAAACTTTTGCTTTGAAAAATTCTTTCTTTAATAAGTAATATAATTGTTAAATTTAATTTCATTGATTAAACTGGAATCTATGACAAATAATCCATGCATTCACAATTGATAAAACAGAATAAAAGAACATCAGACGTTCAGAACGTTGATTAAGGAAAGAATAATGCATGTTGTAGTAAGGTATTTCCTGTCACAGCAAGTTGTGATGCTATCGTAGATTGTTCAACAAGCTCTTCGTTTTTCTTACATATTCCATTTCCACCAGAAGTTACATTATCTTCACACCATATTCCTCATTTTTCACCAATCACAGGGAACAGAATAAAGCTATCAACATAAAAGTTCTCTCCAACAAATATCTATCTTCCAGATAATGAATAAAAAATGACATTTTCAATAGTTTCTTCACATTGCATCTCCTATTTCTTAACCTGTCAGAAAGGATGTTGAACTTCAATCACTTGAAAATCTTAAATATAAATTTTAAATCAACTTTTATAAAATAAACAAATTTATCTGGGTTCGTGTTTTTATTATGATTTTGCCTTAAAAATGTATTCAGGAGAAAAAGTATTTATACATCATAAATTCTCTTGGTTTCTCAGCTACCCTAAAACTTTATGGTTACTGGAATAAATTCTAATGTTTTTTTCTCACAGAATTTTCATTTCTTATTCACTAGACAAAGTACGTACAGACATTTTTTAACCATAAAGCAAAACCCTTCTGTTGACAAACCTTTCTCCATTAACACCCCAAAGAAAGAACAGGGAAACAGAGCAAAACAGAGATGGGTTGCCAAGCCTCCAAGCCTCAGCCACCATTTGAAAACTCCATCCACCATGCAGGTTTTCAAGAGTTTCAGAAACCCAAAAATCCCACACAGGAAGTTGTGCTACAAATCCCAGGATGCAAAGTTCATCTGGTGGACGATGGAGAAGTCGTTGAACTGGCAAAAGGGCACTTCACAATCATGAGGGTCATGGAGCAGAACGTGGCACTAGCAACAGTCATAAAAGTTGGAAGCAGTGTTCAGTGGCCCTTGACAAAGGACGAGCCAGTGGTGAAGGTGGATGGTCTTCACTATCTCTTCTCTCTGCCTGTGAAAGATGGTGGTGAGCCTCTGAGCTATGGTTTGACCTTTCCAGAAGAGTGTTATGGGAACATGGGGATGGTGGATTCTTTTCTGATGGAGCATTGTTGTTTTTCTGGGTTGGAAAGGATCAAAAAGAGTGACCTTGATTGGGAGGACTTTGCCCCAAGGGTTGAGGATTACAACCACTTTCTTGCCAGGGCCATTGCAGGAGGAACTGGTCAGATTGTTAAGGGTATCTTCAAGTGCAGCAATGCTTACACCAACCAGGTTTGGTATACTGTTGAGTAAAACCAACACTGGTTTTTCTTTTTCTGTTTTGTTTTCTTTAAACTTATCAAAAATTTGATTTTGGTTAAAAATGATTTTGAATTGAGATGATTTGTGTTTAAATGGGTTTATTTTAAAACTAGGTTAAGAGCATAATTCAATATAATTCTTTCATTCAATGAAAAAACAGTCTAAGTGTGGGTATGAATAAATATTTGCAAAATTGATTTTGAATGAAGTTAGTTTTGGTTACAAAATTATGAAGTCAAGTGAATTAATTTTTGAATTTTTATACCTTAAAGTTTGATGTAAGATCTAAATGATACGTTATCAAGTTTGGTCAAATTGAGGTTTGAAGGAAAAACCAAATTTACTCAACAAAAAGGAAATATTCTATTTTTACCAGTTTATGATTAAACCCGTGAGACCAATTTTGAAATCTAATTTCAAAATCAATTTTAGATTTAGAATCAATTCAGTAGTTTATATTTTAAAGTGATTATTAATAATCCAACTTGAATCAACAAATTCACTTATGATACTTTCTTAGTTCTTATAATATGAAATCTTGATGTTAGGAGAATTGCATGGATATTGAAACATTGACTATGTTCTTTTAAGTCAAATTACAATATGAGACTTATGTGTTGTGACCCACATGAAAACATATGAGATTCTCATGTGGGTAATATGGGCTTGGACTCTTGCAGTGTTGTGCCTCAAGGTCCTTATTCATGGACAAAAAAACATTATTGAAGTATGAGATTCTCACAGTTGTGTCTAAAAGAAAAACTTTGTGGTCTGAGATGTTCTGTGTTACTGAACATTTTGTTCCTCTTACTAAGAAAAACCTTGGTTTTATAAGAGAACTGTTTAGTATCCAACAATTTATGTAGTTAAGAATGAAAAAAAGAGGAATAAAATTTGAAATGTAATGTAAGAAATAATGAGATAGAGATCGATAAACACATCAAATGATATGGTACAAATGATTTTATATATATTAAATCGTATTTTATAACCTAATAACATCCGTCTTCAGTGAAATAAAATTTGAGGCATGCTTTGTTCTTTTTAGTTTTATTGCCTCATTTGAAAAGAACCAAATAATGAAAATCAGGTCCAAAAAGGAGGGGAAGCGATCCTAAATAGTGCTGCAGAAAGGAACAATGGTAACATGGTCAGAGAAAGTCTGAACAACAGGAATGATGCCACAGAGAACAGTGGAATGAAAGAAAACCTCAAACGGTATTTTAAAGTTCACTCTGTGCACAACTTCACACACAATACTTCTAAGTGAACATCTGATGTGATTGAGTTATTACTATGTCATGAGTTAATGTTAAAGGATCAGAGTTTTGACTGAATTTTTCATCTTCATTAAACTTTTTAAGAGGGTATGTACAAGTATAAACTAATTTGGATTATTTTTCATGTTTGCAATCTAGAGTGAGAAAGCTAACAAATATGACAGAAAAGTTAACCAAATCTTTGCTTGATGGTGTTGGAATAATGAGTGGATCAGTGATGACTCCAGTGCTTAAATCCCAACCAGGACAGGCATTCCTAAAGATGCTCCCTGGAGAGGTGCTATTGGCTTCCCTTGATGCAGTCAGTAAGTAACACTTCTCATACAAACCAAAGTTTAAGATTCTACAAAGCTTCATTATCAAATTTTCAGACATTGTAACGAAAAGTTTTTCATTGTCAACTACTCAAAAATCATATTAGTATGACTATTATGGTGTGAAAGATAATTATTATAGAAGTCTACCACATTTTTCTTATGTCATGATTGAATGTAAATGTAAAATTACATCATTAGTGCATACACTCTTAGTCTTAAAAAAACTCATGAACCAATCTTATTGTTGTTACCTTGGATACTTCAATAAGCACCTCAAGCTAATCAAGCAGTATCAACTAGATTTCTGTGTTTAATGCCGCAGATAGAGTTTTTGAAGCAGCTGAAGCTGCTGAAAAACAAACCTTTTCTGCCACCTCCAAAGCTGCAACCAGAATGGTTCATAACAGGTAACATTATTGTTATTATTTGAACAATAATATACCCGAAATTTAAAGTTGAACACACATTGACAATTCATGCCTGAAATTGAACTCTACTTTAACCTAGACAACACTGTTTTTTCTGTGATGATGACTTAACCATTAGTCCCTTAACTTCAATTGAAACATCTTAATCAGTTAGTTCAAGTCTTGTAAACTTAACTATTAATCCCTTTTTTGTCAAGTCAATTTAAGGTTTTAAATTATAATCATGATAACAATTACAGAAATTCAAAAAATCTTGACATTATAGCTGCAACCACAACAGTCAAATCAATAAAAATGACTACAAAAATCATAAAATCTTGTACTACATAACAAAACAGTATTCAAGTTAAAACAAAAGTGCGATGCATTTCTTTTAACAGAAAATATCAGCAATAAACTTTCTGATAATCTAGTATGTTGCTAACACCTATGTTGTGGATATATAAATGTAACTTAAGCTAACATGAATGGTTTGGCAACAGGTTTGGGGAAGAAGCAGGGGAGGCTACTGAGCATGTGTTTGCAAGTGCAGGACATGCTGTTAACACTGCTTGGAATGTCGCTAAGATTCGCAAAGCCATCAATCCAGCCTCTTCTGTAAATGCTGCTGGAGCACTCCGAAATTCTGTCAAAAAATAGAAATGCTTTACATTATATATATATACTATCTTTTTGGTTGTTATATATGGGTATTGTTGCACTGATAAAACATATAAGTATTGTTGTATGAATTGGTCATCACTAAGGAAACCATAGAAGAACCAAACTATGTGAAGTGTTTGCATGAAAAAGCTTCAAATGTAAGAAAGTATTATTCTGCTTCCCCTTCTTTTCTAATTCTGATTTTTCTATGCAGCATTCATGTGCCTGTAATATTTACTGTACGTATAGTAACTCTTTTTACCATAAAAAAAATAATTTACTATAGAAAAATAAAATATTAAATTACGTATGAAATTATTTGTTAATAAAAAAATAAAAGGCAACTCAATGTTTTTGTTTTTTAACATAGCTATAAATTTGAATTCAACAATGTGTTTTTCTTCAAGTAAAGAAATTCCATCTTGGAATTGAATTGGACGATGAATATGAAGATAATTTAATAAAAATATTATTTGATTATAAGTTTATTAATTTAACATCATGTCAAAATGGAAGAGTAAATTAAATAGACTCTCACGGATTTAAAATATATTTAAGTCAGTTTAAAATATATAATTACAGTTGGTACTAATTATTTTATCTTCTTACATTTTACTAAACGTCTTTGACATAAATGATTAAAATTTAAATATAATATTTATATATTACATAAACCATTTAAAAACTTCACATTATATTTAATCTTAAGTATTTATGCATAATTGTATGATTAAGATTTTTTTTATAACACTTCTTATTAGAAAAAAGAAAGATTTTTTTATGTATTGCAGTACATGTATTACAAACACTTCTATTATTATTATTATTATTATTATTATTATTATTATTATTATTATTATTATTATTATTATTATTATATGAGTGAAATATATTAAGTAAAACAATAAGATGTAAAAATATCAGAATTAAAATGATATGCAGTAATAATGCAAATATTAATAATTATTTTAAATTTTTTTAATTGGGTCCAATGATTATCACTACGAAGACTAAAGCAGGCCTAGTTTGATGATGATGATGATTACAAATATAAATATACAAATTAAGAAAAAGGTTTCAAAGATAATGATTCTCGTGCCTTTTTGTAACATGGACGCCATTGCGATGGAAAAATGTAATCAAAAGTTCATTTAAAATTTTAAATTATCTATGATTTATATGAAAAATATATAACAAAAGTCATTGAGTGGGAAAAAAAATTAAAGCAATTAAAAGGGCCTCAAGAGTTTACTGAATCAATTCTTTATATCAATTAATTTGTTGTTGGGTTTTTTTAACATATACTTTTGATCTTTACACATACAATTTTTTTTTTCTTGAATATTTTAAGCTTGATAGTTTACAAAGATAATTGTTAATAGTTGCATCACTAATCATGAAGATGGTAATTTTGAAGATGGGAAATCCTTCATTTATGTCATTGGATAGGATAGACAGTGAGTGACAGGCACTGTCTTTAATTTTGAAAGAAAAAGGAGCAAACTACTTTAACCTAGTTTTTTATTATATATATTATAAAAGTACGAAATTAAGTTTGTTATACCAACCCAGACATCAAATATAAATATAATTAGTAAAATTAAAATAGGGTATTCATCGTATTAAAAAAATCTTAATTGCTTTAATCATACAATGTAATGCAATTATAATGCAAATTCACATTCAAAAATTAGTATTAATATATATCAACCTAAGACATAAAATATAAATATAATTAGTGAAATTAAAATAGGGTCTTCATCGTATTAAAAAGTCTTAATTGCTTTAACATAAAAGGGATCATATAATATAATGCAATTATAATGCAAATTCATATTCAAAAATTAGTATTAATATATATATATATATATATATATATATATATATATTTGTTTAAAAATCATAATATATTTTTAATTAAATCTTTAAAATATTATTTTTTTAAGAAATTTGTTACCCATTAATCCCATTTATAATCAATCTCATTCCTATTAGTTGAGAATTACTAAATGATGGATATATATATATATATATATATATATATATATATATATATATATATATATATATATATATATATATATATATGAAAAACAAAAGTTCCTTATTAAAGTTATTATTAAATATCTAAATTTTTTTATTTTATCTCCTTAATCTTATATATTTCAACTCTTTAGTTGTTATTTATCATAGACCTATATATAATTAAAAATATATAAATATATTACTTGATTTAAGAAGTAAATTGTTGAATGACTTAAAGACTTATTTACCGTTATTCATTATTAATAACTTTATTATTATTATTATTAATATATATGGATTATTTGATAATTTTAATATATATATATATATATATATAGATAGATATATTTACAATTAACAATATTTAATTACATGTTATTTAGATATTGGTCTAAATCACTAAATAATGTATTCTCATTTATTTAAAATGTGTTTAACAAGTCGGTTAAATTAGTTTATGAATTGATTTGACAATACTAAATTTTATTGTACAACAACAACTTATTTTAATATTTTTAGCTTATTTTATGAATCACTTCAATAATTTAGCTAATAAGCTTGAATTATTTTACCTTTTAACTTTTAGTTATAAGTTTTTAATTAGTTTATAAAATATTTTTGTTATAAATATTTTAATTAGCAACGGTCAAATTAGTTTGATTCGACGAGTGAGATCAAGTTATATACTTACATTTGATATTTTAAAAAATAACGATGATTGATGAATATAATTTACAATATATTACAGTTAATTATTTTAGATTCATTTTAAGGAATTAAGATATAAACAATTTAATAAATTAATTATATGATTAAATTGTAGCAAGATAATTTATTTCTAAGTAATTTATAAGATGGTGATTTTGTGAAACTTAATTCTACCATATTCATATTTTAATTTATCATATCATTCTAATATTTCTCCATTTATTGTTCAAGTGGTAGGACCCACAAACTAATCAAAATTCCACTCTGATTATTTAATCTATAAATAATTTCGCATTATGTCTCTAACATATATCTATGATTATAAAACACAAGTACAAAGTTTAATTATTAATTTGCATTAAATATTTAGGGTGCGGACGTGGATGTTCCGTCCAGATATTATAATAATATTAGTGACGATGAATTTTTATCGATTTTGAAATTTTCGTTTTATTTTACTATCAACTCATAATCCACATGAGATTTATAATGTAAATAACGATTTATTTATGACTTATGATAATAAATATTCAACATTAATTTATATTATTTAAAGCTTAATAACTATTGAGCTGTAAATTCATCGAATAAAATTATTATTAAATTGTACAACGATCTAATTATTGTACATTTTATATATTTGAGACTAAACAAGAAAAAAAATATTTTATAAATAAAAATTATAATCCTATACACATATTCAAGAACTAAAACTATCTATAGAATCAAATACCAATTTTATGAAAAACAAGAAGAAGAAAAAAGTGCTACACCTACACCATACATTATGTGATGTGTTGGTAAGGTGGCACTAATTATTAATTAACAAATGAATTAATTGTATAGTCAATTGAAGGCACCAAAACAATGAACGCTGAATATGATTATAATTAACCACATGTTTCATAATTTAATCATGTGGTATTTAAATATTAGGTAATTATCATTGGGGTTGTAGCCTGTAATAATGAAGATTTAATCAGAATCTTAGTACTTGGGAAATGAAAAAAGTTCCTTTACTATCTTAAACAACATTAATTGGATTATCTTAAACAATCTTAAATACTCATCATTGGAATTTGCCTGCAAACCAAGATCCAATTTCCCCACGTTTTTATCCATTATATAATTATATCTTCCTCTCTCTTCATTAAAAAAAAAAGTGGTGTTTAATGTCTTGTAATTTTAAATATATATTATTAATTTTTAAATTAATATAAAACATATATAAATAAATTAAAATGATAAATATCATAACAAATATTTAAATTAAATGATGAAATATTAATTTAGTTTTGATTTTAAATTTTTAAAGTTTAAACTAAATTGTATTTAAATTTTATGTTGATTCGAGTGATTTATTATTAAAAAAAAACATTTCTAATAATGAGAGGCGTGCGTTAACCCTAATTAGGCACGTAACCATTTTGTTGAACAGCACAAGTTTCACGTGGACTTTAACCCTAAAAAGTAAAAATTTAAGTGCGTCATGTGGTGGACCAATGTATAAAATTTGTAGCATTTATTTTCGTAATTAAAACGAAAAGCAAAAAGTTTGCACAACCTTTGATATGTAAACCTAACCTACCCTAACAGAATTAAGTATTTACATATTTGGCTACATTCAAGGCGAAAATACCGGATCATCCATAATTGATATTATAAAGATAATTAACGAGATAAGCGATTGAAGAATTTCTTAAAACATAGTTTTACGATGTAATTAGTGTTAATAAATTAATAAAGTGAATATATATATATATATATATATATATATATATATATATATATATATATTCACTCTATTATAGCATCAAAATTGTTTTTTATTACTTTGTTTTTATTATTAATAATTGATTGCAATGAAATTCTTATGTTTATATTCTATTAAAAATATTATCCATCAACAACTTAGAATATAAGTTTAATATTTTATTATTTTTAATCAATATTATTGAACTTGTATATATATATATATATATATATATATATATATATATAATTTTAACACATCACTGAAATAATTAATTTTAAAATATTTTTGACATTTTTAAAAATAAAAAGTTTTAAATATTATTGTAATACTTCTATTTATTTTATTAACATTAAATTGATTTCATGTACATTATATCAATGATACAAATTTTTAAAAAATTATTAATATGCATTTTTTTTATTGGAAGCAATGCAATTATTTTTCAACGAAATAAAGTTTTAATTTTTAAATTCTTTTTATCAAGCTAATCTATCCTTAACTACGATAG